GCAAACCAAGTAATCGAGGGGGAAATCACTCAAAAATAATTTCTATTTGACAAGTAGTTTTTAGGTAATTCGTTGAACAAAAAGTAATTTTGAATGTAGTTTTTCGACTAAAAATTACTACAAATTACTTTTTGTTCGATAAATTACTTTTCTATTAGAAATTACTTGTCAAAAATGTATTTTTCTATGAAAAAAAAGTAATTTGTAATTCTCTTCGAAAAAGTAATAGTGAAAGTAATTTGTGAACCGAAAAAGTAATTTTCTAGAGTGATTTTCCCCTTGCAAGTAATCTATTTTGTTTGTTTGAATATGGCAAAAAAAAGAAGGGACAAAAACGGAACAAAATGAAGAAAAAGAAATTGAAATGAATCTTATTACTGATTATAACAAAAACTGTATCAATTGTAAAATTCACATGAAAAAAAAATCTTCCTTCAGTCCGCAGTTATAATATCAGAACGTTTGATTGGCTTTTGAATTGAATCCATTTCCAATTAACTTTAAAAACCATTTTTACGATACATGATTTATTTAGTGAATTCGCAGTGCATTTGTTTATTTGTATGTACTTGTGTGGAACTTACTAGGAATTTTGTTACACATTTGCCGGAACCTAGTGAAATATTAAGTACATACCGCACACAATTTGTGTCACACACAAAGTATGATAAACGAAGCGTCTCAATCAAACTCAAACACGATAACAGACCAACCAATTGAATTGCATTTGTTTATCATTGCATTTTAATAAGGTGGAATGGCGCCACCCAAAATGTCATCCAAATATTGGACCCTTGCAAATATTTCATAAACAAAATAACAGAACGGGGCGTCGATTCTTCGATTTTAATCAAATTTCCAATTGGGTCTTGCAATCGATTTGCGGGAAATTTTCAAATATATATGTTGCGCTGTGAAATTAACTGCGAGCTACTGAATTACTTATACAGCTTTGATGGCCGCTTAGATAAAGTTTCGTAATGACAATTTCAATCAAAGCACATGCTGCATTTGTGGTTTGATTTCCAAATCAAATTTTTTAAAACTTAAGTTATTAGTATGAATAGAGGCCTCTCGAAAATTGTGTCGACAAATTTTCATTTAAGATTTGAAATGAATCAAGTTTGGATTGTTATTAGGCGTCATAATCTATGTGAAAATTCTTTCAAGTATACGATAAGGAGAACCGAAATCACCGTATGAAGAGAATTCTCGATACATCGGAATCGATATTCATTTATTAAAGCGATGACAAATGGATATTTGTTTTGTGTTTTTCCTATACTAATAATACATCGAATGATCGGTTTCTGATTCGTTTAACTGATATATTAACTAGCAAAACCCAAGCAAAGAAAAGCCAAAACCATAATGATCTATACTTCCTTTATCCACACATGTACAGCATGGCGACATGTGAACGGGCGCGCGCCGGCGTGTGTGTGTTTGTGTGCCTTAAATGCATTCAATTTCCAACGAAGCAGCGTAAGCATACTTTATTATTTAATATTTTATGAGCCTCATTCGAATAATTGCGCGCAAAAGCGATTCATTTTTATTGAATTTTAATAAGTTAATAGGTAAAACACATGATTGGTATTCGATTTAATGTTCGTTATACATATTTTTTTTTTCGTTGTACCACAAGCGCACGACGCCGAAAAAAAAAGAACAAGAGCCATAGTGCATGCGCTGTGACGGTGGGGAAGATGGTCATCGTCGTCTAAATGAATGAATGTGCGAGCGAGCGAGAGAGAGAGAGCGAATATGAATTTAAAAAAAAGTCAAAACGAATTTTTATGCTTTATTGTTTTTATTCTTTTTCTTGATAAAAATTGCGTTTTATGCCATTATTTGTGCGCAATGCATCGAGTACACACGATTTCAATTAAAACTTATGTGTATTTACTTTTCAGGCGAAATTAATGGAATCGAATCCATGGCTGGCTCCATCAACGTCGTCGCTAGCAGGTAATTACAATTGCCTTCATATTTAACAGCATAGTCATTTTTTGTTGTTGTTTTTATTCCTTTTTTCCCAATTTTTTTGCTAATTATTATTATTTTTCGTGCTTTTTTCCCCATTTTTTTTTCCACGGAAATAAAATAGAGAGCTATCAATACCAATTGCAATCGATGTGGCAAAAATGCTGGAGTACAAATCAAAATTTGATTCATAATTTGCGGTTTCGGGAGCGTGGCCCGTTGAAATCATGGCGTCCAGAGACAATGGCCGATGCTATTATGAGCGTACTCAAAGATGGTTTGTCATTGTCACAAGCGGCACGAAAGTATGACATTCCGTATCCGACATTTGTGCTGTATGCGAATCGTGTGCACAACATGCTTGGACCGTCAATGGACGGTGGAACGGATTTACGACCGAAGGGTCGAGGCCGACCACAGCGGATACTTTTGGGCGTTTGGCCCGAAGAAACAATCAAAGGTGTTGTCAAAACGGTTGTCTTTCGTGATGCAAAAGAGCTTCGCGATGAGGCTGGCATGCAAATATCAGCGTTTGGACGACATTCAGTGAGTATGCGTTCATAAATTCTATCCATTGTCTAAATGAAATGAATTCTTTTTTTTCGCAATTGAACGGAATTTCATGCGAAAATACATAAATAAATATCATTAATCGCTAAATTAATTGCCCAACTTTCACTTTATCATAGCCAATGTTCCCGTTCGGTGATGGTCAAATCGATTTTTCTGCCGGACTACCGAATCATGGTGTTACCACAAATTTACCAGTCAATTTGGATAGTGAATCATTAAATTCATTAGCAATAAGCCGTTGTTGGCCATCGTTAGCTAATCAACAAGCATCTTCCGGATGAATAAATGAATCGATATCCATTCAACGTGACATGATTCTAATGCGCCGCAACTAGATATTCATCGCATTGAAGATAAATTAACTGAGCTACAAACGAGCACAACAAACGATTCAAATAGATCAGCACATTGAATCATAAGCATAAATACATCGGATTTGGATGGCAACTGAGAATAAACTGTGAAAAATGTATGGAATAGTTTGATTTTTTCCTTCAACACTACCACTACCACCACCCTCCAAGAACTCCAAACTTGAATCATTCGTTGTATTGATGCGATATCAATCGTCGATTGCTTCATTTGACCGCAGATCCTTGTGATCAATAGTTGATTGTTCGAATCAATTGTGTATGAATACAAAAATACCAATATTTGTTTAAAATAAAATGCAAAAGAAAAGGAAAACATATGAATATTCAAATTTTTTTAAAAAGTATAACACGTATCAAACACACACAAACACGCATTTGCAATGATAATTCAAATGGCAAGGTATTTTATTTAATCAAAAAAAAAACTTCATTTTTTTGTTCATTTAAGATTTTTGAGTTTAATTAATGAATTTATTAAGTTAAATCAAGTTGAATGATGTTTTAGTTATTTTCTTATTTTGATTAACACAGTCAAAATACTCAAATTGATCTTTAGTTTTAAATCAGTAAGTGTCTAAACAAATATTTAGAGATTTACGGCCTCTGCATAGCTGTAACAAATCGAAATGAATCATTTTTTTTGTCTTTGTTTCTCCACAAGAATAGCAATTAAACGATAAAATTAAACAGAGACACAGAAAATATAGATTAGGGTGTTAATGATGGCTAACAATTATGCGGCTGCCTGATCATATGTTATTCAAGTGATAATAAATACAATTCACACACACACACACACAAACAGAAACAAAAACACAACATTAGATGAATGAAATGGAAAGAATGGCCACAATCGAACATTTTTAAGATGAATCGTTAGGTTTAATAATTGATGAATAAAGAAGAACATGGAAAAAAGTGCATTTTTACGCGTTTAGCTTAGAACAATAAAAATTGTAATATTAGATTTTAATGGTAAGATGGAACACACACATACACTAAGAAACAGCGATTGTGTTGTCTCTCATTTCAGATAACCATTCATTCAGAGTAAATTCAGTTAAGGTAACATATCTTGTTTTCTTTTCCTACAAACACCGTAAATCCTATCGACGAATCGTAAATTGGTTCAATGCACCACAACAAATGCGTCAGCAACATTATCACACACATGGGCGGGAAAGAGAGAGAGTTAGAGAGAGAGAGAACAATGAACAAAACACGGAACTGATTGCAAAAGCGTATCATTCGTGCGATATCGTTAACGATTGCAACGACCATTACATCCGCTCAACGAATTGGCTCGCAAATTTTATTACTTTGCGTCGATAGGACCATTTCTATTGCATTTATGTATCGTATTATTTGTATAGAGCCGATTATTTTTATTCATTCGAATAGCATACACGCAAATCTATATATATATATATAAAGAAAATTTCAATAAGTTGATTCAATTTGGATTAAGTTCGCGAGTATTTGTGATATTTCCGATAACAGAAATGAACCTATCAAATCGTTGTAGTAATAATTCGACTGTTTTTTTTTCCTCGAAAACTCTAGGGAGACGCAAATAAACATGAATCTAAATCTTATAGTACACACAAACACACACAACACCTGTAGAAATTGTAGGGAAGCAAATTTTATGTACCAATTAGAAAATAATTGACACATTAATATTGTAATTGTGACGATATTAAAATAGGAATAATATAGACATTTATAAAAATAAAGATGATTTGACTTTTATTTCTGATCAAATGAAGAAATTCCGATTCTGAGGAGTTTGGCTTGAGATTTTAGGTAAAAATATTAAGGTTTGTTCGATGCAATAATGTGAATATCATGAGGTGAGAAGCAAAGTCTATGCATGAACACTGTTGGTAGGAAACATCGCGCGATTCTAATAGTAATAACGTGGAGAACAAAAATTTTTCCGAAGAAACAAAAACTGAGCAAATTCAAACTAACGTGACGATATACACACAAACAGAGCAAGTCTTTGTGTGTTTATGTGCGGCGAATTGGCGTAGTCAACGCTGGCAATACTAGATTCACAACTTTGACTGTCACCGATTTGTTGAAGTATTGCCACAGCTGTTCCACTGACAGCTATCGAAAACCAATAGGAAAAAAAAGGAAAACACACAAGACTAAATTACAAGAGCAAGAGTATATTGTGCAAACGACAAAATTCCCACTGTACAAAACTGCTGATGTTCATAGTGTGTTTATTTTTTTGTTCTGTTGGTTCCACATTTAATTTTGGTTTGTTTATTTGCGTGCATTGTGAATGATTGAAATCGCAAAATTCATGTATTCCACATGAAAAATGGTGCCATTCATTGGGATTCAGTGGAATAATTTCAAGAGATTGCCCACAATCGCAATCGATAATTCAATGTGGAAAATTGAGAAAAATTCAGAAAGGAAAATTATTTACATTTGGTTGTCAGAGGTTTTCGACAATTTTCCATCGTTGATTCATCGTTAATGCGATTCCGTACCACATAAAATGCGCATCATTTGATGAATTTTTGTGACTTTCATTCAGGATATTTGCTAAAAGTTGAAAAATCCCATACCAGTCTGATCGAGACAAAATTGTTCTATTTATTTTTCTAATTGATGCATTTCCATTGCCCTTTTTATTCGCAGTGCACAACATTGTTATTTGCGCTTATGCAGTTTCTATATTTTTTCAAATACAATGACTCGATTGCAATGTTAGTTGCCGTACAAGCGGCTACTTTATGTTAATTATTCGGAATAATAATTGTTCGTGATTGAGTGAGTATTTGCAAATTTGTTCGTGTTTTCGTGTGCTGTGCTGTGTGCTCTACTCTGCTGTACCCATCACAATTCAATGGCATTTTGATTGTGTTGATGAATTTAAGAAATGACTAAATGAACCAAATAAATTGCGTTTATCAAAGTAGTGAAGTAGTAAATCACGACAATCGAGCACATTGTCATTCATTACAACACAACAGGGTGAAACAAAACAAAACAAAACGTAACTGAACGGCGTTGCGATTGAAACCGAAGAAAAAAAGAATCATTCGCTTTTATATCGAGCTGTATCGCATTCGATCGAAAGGAAATCGATTCTTTTTTTCCCTAATATAAAAATACATCGGAAAGTGCTGCTATTACCAAGCAGCAGCTATCAGCATCGTCATCATGTTTGTCAATGGTAAGCCTATATGAAGTGATAAAATCAAAATTATTATTATTTGTTATCTCATTCTATTGGCATGAAGCGATTACAACCATGAATCATTTATTGATGAGAGTGTGTTGTGACTGGTTTTTGTTTTTTTTGCTGTCTGAATCAGGGAATATGTGTGACGATTTTTCTTGGCTAAGATTTTTTCGATACATTACCGCAGTTATTCATTATGCATGAGTTCCGTATGATTTACTCAAAGTCTTATCGATTTGTACTATGGAATTAAGTCAATTTAATTGACCTAAACACAAGCGTAAAACTCTCTATGCTCTGGCAACGCGACGAGAATGAGAGTGAGAGCCAATGAGCAAAAAGTCCGTATCATGCAATGTGACACAAGGAGCAAACATTTCAGAGTGAAGTGGAAAGCAAATAATGGGAAATGTGCAAAGTCATACGAATAGATTTGGTTTTTTTTGACGAGTACATTATAATTTAGTAGAAATAAAATAATTATTTTCGTTAATTCATCATCTTGGTGGTTTGTCGTATGATTTAATCATGTGCGCGTTACATAGTTGTTTCGTGCGGTCGTCGCTCATGAAACGTTTACGTGTACAAAGCACATTCAAATGATTATGTCGCTAAATTGGTGGCCCATTCGATATGTGACTATCCTCGAACCTTGGCGTTTGCGATAAATTTGATTTTCAACTGTAAATTAAAAAAACTGACGAAAAAAAACCGAAAATATTTGCTACGTAAACAAGCGAGAGGTTCCAAAATTGTTTACGAAATATTCGACAGGCCAAGTTGATGTTTTAGTTTGTTTTTTTTTCGAGCGAATTGTTCGCTTGTGTTCTTATCGTTATAGTACTTAAAACACTTTATACATACGCCGCAAATGCACTGTTCGGCTTAATTTTAGTAGAGACTGTCAAACAAGAAGCGAAACAGTCAGACTTGAAATCGTTCGCATATGAAAACACTTGTTGTATGTGAATTTGAATGTGCGTATGTCATATCAAAGAGCAATGTGTTTTTATGAAAACAATTTCACTTGAAACAACAACAACTTTCATAGCAAATGTGATCGTTTGTACTGTGAAAGGAATTGAATGAGCAACTTAATCATGATAGTTTACAGGAAAGCTTTAATAGTAGTAGTGGCGCTCATATATACACGCGCGCATACACGCAATGGGATACACACATATTTGTATCTGTCCAATCGTGTTTCTATTTCTTAGAGAAGTTGAGTCATTGAAAGAGAGCTGGAAATCCAAACATTCGACCGCACACAAAATTGATACGAGCGATAGTTCGAAAGATCAACGCTGTCTTCAATCACGTTGAATTCACTCGAATATCAGTTCGTTATTTACGAATCACGGTTTCTTTTGTACATTTTACGTTATAGTCGTGTTATGATTTGCGATCAATTATTCTTTGGTTTTAGTTGCTTTTCATGTAAATTCGCTGTGTAATTTTACTTTTTTTTTGTTTCGATTGAATTGTTCCATAGTTTTATGAATTTTACGTGCACGGACACTCCAAAACGAATGGACTGAATGGAGAGTTATCGTATGGACAGAGAGCACTGTAGCACAAAGAATCTTTTTATTTTGAACTATTCAGTCGAAGCACGCAATTATTTTTAACGCAACCATGCCGTCGATTTTCAAAAATCCATCCAGAGGCATCAAATGTGTGTACAATTCATTTTCATTCTATTTTATTCCATTTAATCGCTAGGCTTTCATATTTTCGCCATTTTTTCTGTAGTGTCAATTACATATAGCTGAACCAACGTTTTTATTTGCTTTTATTCTTTTCAATCAAAAAAAAATTCTCGAAATTTCGTATAATGAAAATTATTTCGTTTGAATATAGTGTTGCGAAGTTTATTAGGCGCTGATGCCGGGCCAAATAAGGTGATTGAGATAAAAACGGACACGCTAGGCAATTTGCCAGTGTTGCATCGTGATGAAGGAATGGTGCTGTATGGTCCAGTTCTTGGTCAAATCGAAAGTCGCAAGATTCAATACGAAATCGTACTGAATCGGCCATGCAGCGACAATTTGAACACCGCATTTAGGTAAGAGGCACGACTATCTGCTAGTATTTGTTTCAAGAAATGACCAGAAAATCCATTAATTTGCAGCTTGTATCGGGCATCCAATCAGACCGAAGCCGAAGAGAAATTCAATGCTTTTTTGCATCGACTACCATCATTTGTTTCAATGGCTAAAGAGGTATTTGCTTCTATCCACAAGAAAAACAAAATTATTGCATTGCTCTTATCAAAAATCATGTATCTGGATTCGGTTTTCGTTCTCTGATCTCCTGTACAACAATAGATGTACAACATTAATGGTCTACAAAAAGTGTGCGATATTCTGTTGGAGAATCCATCATGGACAATAGCTCATTTAATATCCTATTTCAATTTGACCGAATACATTGGTCATCTCAAAGTAGGGGATCTGATCGATGAACCAGATTATGCGACCAACATGACACCAATCCAAGTAAGTACAATCGAAATTGCTTCTTCTATTTCCCGATATATTTCAATACACTAGCTCGAACCGCACGGTTTGTGGTAGATTTTCACATACCGTACATACCGTACGTGTACGTATGACTGACAATATGATGGAAATGAAACAATATGATACAATTTATCAGATGAAATTGCTCATTGCATTATTCATGTCGATTAATTTGTTTTGAATCTTTCGCTTTGTTTCGAATATAATCCAATTGCAGCTAGCCATTAAATGCAACCACCTCGAAATGGTGAAAAAACTATTGCCGCAGTGTAAACTCAACCACTTGGATAATAATATGAATTCAATATTTCACTATGCCGCACCGACTACAAAAGAAATCATCAATGTAAGTCAACTGAATTATGGCATATGGCAACCTGTGTGTGAGTGTGAGGGTATGGTGTGTATGTAAAATGTACACCGTATATATACACACAAATACACACACACACAAGATCAATTATAATTCAATTTGTTGTACTATTCCTTCTCTTTGTTCGTGCGTCGCATGGTTTCTCTCACTCACTCAATCATGCTCGTGTTCCGATTGTTGACGCGGAATTCGGCGGTGTGCGGCGATTTTAACGCGATTTCATTTCGCCACCTCTAGTTGTTGGTCACAAAAAGCACGGAAAACATAAATAATTTGAATAACGAAGGCTATACACCGCTACATTTGAGCTGTCAATGGGATAAACCGGACTGCGTGAAGGCATTGTTGGCGGCTGGTGCTGATGCCAATATACAAAGTGCTAATTCCAAAGGGCCAAGCAATAACAGTAAGTAAACGGAATGAATGATTGGAAACGATTGAAGCCATGATTTAACTTTGATTCAACATTCAGTTGGGAAATTGCTTTGTGCAAACAAGAATTGATAAATTTAATTAGTCCTAATTGAATTGAATCGATTTTGCTCTTGAATTGCTCCCAAGAGGAAATGTGAAAAAAAATATATAAAGATCGCAATCGCTTGAAAGCATTTTTATTTTTGGTCAAATCTCCTGGGTAATTATGAGTTCTAGAAGAAAAGCAAAGAAAAAAAAACACCACCACCAACCACAACAACAAACTAAATAAATAATAATAAACGGTGAACGTCAAAACATCAACAATTAATTGATTTGAAATGCGCAGTTTATGAAAGTGTCGATATTTATGGAGAGATTAGAGTCTTTCTTTTTTATTCGTTCTAAAGATATGCTGAGCGTATTGAAATTTTTGTGTATTTTCCTTTCAAAACTCTTATCTCTCATTTTCCAAAGCAAAATCATTGTAAACGCGGTGTTTCGAACAATTCAAGTGTTGATAATTGTATAACTCCCGTTTCCATTCGTAGGTACTATTGCAGTCTGTCGTGAGTTAGATACACGAAAATTAGCGACCAGTGAGATGAAGAATGGTGGTACCCCACTCCACTGGAGCACTTCGCGTGAAGTGTTGCTCGAGTTGATTTTACGTGGGTGCAATGTGAACGCCGTGAATTTTGATGAAAAGTCAGCGCTGCACATAATGGTTGAAAAGAATAGCATCGAATGTGCAGTGGCATTGTTGGCGCACGAGGCCGAAGTTGATATCGTCGATAAGGATGGTAACACACCGTTGCACATTGCAATCGAAAAGAAACTACTACCAATGGTACAGTGTTTAATTGTGTTTGGTGCTGATTTCGATCGGTTAAATGGCCAAGGCAAAACGCCACGTCATATGGTTGGCAAAAGCTCACAGCGAAATTTAGATGACAATATTCTGTATATTCTGCACTCGGTCGGTGCACTGCGTTGCCCCGAAAACAACACCAACTGTCCGAGTGGCTGTAATTTTAGCGGTGATTACAATGGTATTCCGCCCGAACAGCCGGAGTCGCCCGAACGACGGGAACAAATCTACCAGGTGCTGGCATCCACAAGTCGTTCACATCGAAATAACATAACCAATAACATAACCAACAACATCACCAATTTTCTATCGAATTCAACAAGCGTCGACTCACCGACTGGGTACGATTCATCACATTTTCGATGCATTATTTTTATTACGATTTGAAATTAATTTTGGTGTCACTATTCTATCTTGTTCATTTTAGACCACAAGTGCCAGTTCGAACGATAGTGGATGTGAGTGCCGAGGAGAAGGGTCGTACAATAATGGACACCTTGTTGAGTATGTTTCTGAAAAAGGAAACTGCACCGAATCTCATTCGCTTCGACAATGAATCGGAAACGATAAGTCACGGTGACGAAGCAGAGGAACAAATGGATGGCATTGAAGTTACGGACGGTGAAACGGAGGAAACAAGCGCAGAAACCGCCGAAAAGAAGTCAGAATCGGGTCGTGGCCGGCTGTTGTGCATGGACGGTGGTGGTATTCGTGGCTTAGTTCTGGTACAAATGTTGTTGGAAATTGAGCGAATCGCTCAAACTCCGATACATCATATGTTTGATTGGGTAGCCGGTACAAGTACGGGTGGTATTTTAGCTTTGGCATTGGGTGCAGGCAAAACCATGAAACAATGCATGTGCTTATATCTGCGCATGAAGGAACAGGCATTCGTTGGTTCACGGCCATACGCGAGTGATAACCTTGAAAATCTATTGAAAGATACATTGGGTGCACACACCGTTATGACCGATATTAAAAATCCCAAAGTCATGATCACCGGTGTAATGGCTGACCGCAAACCAGTCGATTTACACTTTTTTCGTAACTACACATCGGCCAGTGATATTTTGGGCATCGTCACACCTGACCGTTAGTTTTAAATTTTGTAGTTTTTTTCACAACTCCTTTCACAATTCTGACATTGACGATGAATCATGTTCTATTTTTGCTCAGAAAATCGCCGCTGTCCACCTCCACCACCAGATAAGCAACTGATTTGGAAAGCGGCACGTGCAACTGGTGCAGCTCCATCGTATTTCCGTGCTTTTGACTACTTTTTGGATGGTGGTCTTATCGCAAACAACCCAACATTGGACGCAATGACCGAAATCCATGAATACAACATGGCTTTACACAGCGTTAATCGTAAATCCGAAATAACGCCCGTTGCAGTGGTGATTTCGCTTGGAACCGGCCTCATTCCGGTTACCGAACTCAAGGATATCGATGTTTTCCGGCCAGAGAGCTTGATTGACATGTACAAACTGACTCAGGGCGCTTCTGCAATTGGTAAATGATTTGCTCTCTTCTAGCAATGGCCATTTTTCTTAATTTTTTCAATGCTCTCATTCGTAAAATTTAGGTAATTTGCTTGTCGATCAAGCAACAGCCGCTGATGGACGGGTGGTTGACAGAGCACGAGCATGGTGCAGTATGATTGGAACGCCATATTTCCGGTAATACGAAATTTCACTTCAACTTTTGAAATACACCAAAATATTGATAACTTGAATCATTTGTAATCAATGTTTTCCCATCATCGTTGACAGGTTCAATCCACAATTGTCCGAGGATATTGCAATGGATGAAAAGAACGATATTAAATTAATTAAAATGCTATTTGAGGCAAAAGCTTACATGCATAAAAATCGAAGTAAGGTCATCGAAATGATAAATTTAATCAAATAGATTTACTTCACATCCACAATTCTCTACGCAACTGTTATTTGTTATATATTGTGTCAACAATTTGATGTAAGAAGAAGAAGAAGAAGAAGAAGAAAAACCCGTCACTCATAGGTCTTTGTCTATCGATGTCATACTGTGTTGAATTATTTGAGATTGAAATTGAAAATGAAACTCGAGGCCCCACTTACACACATAAATTATATAAAACCAAATCTACTATTTACTATAGACAACAACTTCATATAAAAATCGGCTAAATGTAATTTATTCGCTGCCTAAATGCAAGTTCGTTCATAAAATAACATTCTTTTATTGTATTGAATTGTTGTTGTTGTGATTTTCTATTCGTAAGAATTGTGATTGAACTTTATTTATTTATCGAAATGAATCGCATTCAAATGCCATCATTTCAGTAGTGAAAACACCATTGTTTAGAAGAACATTTTCAACCCCCTCCCTCTTTGAGAATGAAAAGAAAGCAACAATTGTTCAAAATTTTGATAAATATAAATCGCATGAAACTCAAACGGAGTGTGGCAAACAGACTGATGCATTCCTTTGTAAAAACGAAAGAGAAAATATTTAAATAATTTAATAAACACAAAAAAAACAAATGTATTTATAAAACGAATTATTTAAAATGAATGTGGAACGAGAGATTTTAACCAGCACTTATAAATCTATGAATATTTAAGTAATTTATTCATGATAATTTAGTTGAGATGAACACAAAGTCCAATGAAACAGTCTTTTTAAAAGTCGGAAATGTGCCAAAGTTGGAGTTGAAATTGGTGATTGTATTTCTTGCTTCTTTTTTCGTTTTTTTTTTTTAATTGCAACAAGATTTGTAAAAGAGGTAAAAAAAACAATCACAAACAAAAGATTCGTTGAAAATGAAAGTTACCGAATTTTACAAGTAATTTTAAGCATCACATACACACGATGATAACTAAGATTCTGAATTCGACACTAAAACCAGAATTTTGCCTAAAAACCGAACACGAAAAAAAAGCTTTAAACCAACCAAAAGTCATTGTTCAGCAGAATATTCATCATTTTTACACACAAAGATTAGAAAACAAAACGCAATAATATTTGATGTGACTATTTCAAGAATTGAATTTTCATTTTCCTTTCGAATTGAATCCAACGACAATAATCACCAAACAGCTGCTGCAGCACATCACTCCAACGAACCAATCACAGATTTAAAAATCAGTTTTTAAATGCAACATTTCAAATCAATACGATTCACTCACCAAATTGCCAGTTAATTTCTTTGTTTGCTACTCACTGAAACAATTCTTTAATCCAATCAACATTCACACGCTTTATTGAAAACCAAACCAAAAAAAAAAAGAAAAAAAGATGAGATTTTCGATCAATAGCCCTCCATTTTTCATTGTGTATTTACAAACATGCGTCACCAAAAGAATTTCCACACTTTTAAACATAGTTTTTCATACTTTTCTAAACGCATGAAACTTGGGTCTATGGTGAAATCAACAAATAATTTAAATATCGTTAACAATAAATTTTCACCAAAAACAAAAACAAAAACAAAAACAAAAACAAAAACAAAAACAAAA